CCCCCCCCCTTGCGCGCACACACACACACGCACACATCCACACACACACGCACGCGTTCGCACGCTTTTTCTTTTCTTTTTAATCAATCAATCAATCAACCAATCACAATCTATCAACTAATTCCAATCAATCGATGAATCACAATCAATCAATCAATCAGTCAATCTGTATGTGTGTGTGTGTCAAAAAAAAAGAAGAAAAAAAACGTTTTTTTCTAGGCTCCCAGCCGAGCCGCCCGGGTCGCCGTATTTTCTTGGGCGACCTGGTCGTGCAAGGACCAAGGAAGGCGCCGCCCCCCCCCAAAAAAAAAAAATCCAAAAGATCTGAAAACAAACTGTGTTATGTCGAAAAATAAATTGAACAAATTTTGCCTAAGGGTTACATCAAAATTCTTTTCCAAATTAAATATATATATATATATATATATATATATATATCACAGCTTCTCGTTTGTTGTCCTCTTCTCTCTCTCTGCCTACGATTTACCGGGCAGTTCTGTTTGTGACGATATATATTCATATATATTTTTAATCCTTTCATCTTTGCATCTGTCCATAAAAAAGTAAAAATAAAAAATGTCCGACATGTTCATCTCATCAGCAATCAAAAAAGAAAAAAATCTTTTTTTATCATTTTTTTTTTTTAATTATAATCTAGGCTATCAGAGGAGCCAGAGAACATTTGCTCGGTCGGGCTAAAAAGAAATAAAAAAATAGAAAAATTAGAATTATTTTTTAATTTTATTTTTTATTTAGACTTTGGTAAAAAAATTCGATGTGATATTGGGGCAAAAGTTGTTCAGTTTATGTTTTTGCATAACATAAGTTTTTTTTTTTTTTTTTTTTTTTTTTAATTTTTTATGTTTTTGCTCGGACCTTCCATGGTCCTTATACGGCTTGGCCGCCCAGAAAACAGGGTGACCTGGGCGACCCGGATGGTAGCCTAGATTATAATTTTTTTTTTTTTTTAAGTAGAAAATTTTTATTTTGTTTTAAATAGAAAATAACATTGAAATCCAAAAAAAAAATAAAGGGTTGTAGGGCTTTCCAAACCCTACAACCCTTTTTTGTGGTTTATTGTTATTATATTTTTTTAAATATTACAAATTTTCTGCCATGCCCGACCACCTGCTGTCGCAATTTTTTTAGTCATGCCTCTTCAGGTGATTAAAAAGCCAATAGGCTGTCACGCAGGATTTTGATATGTTTGCAATAAATAAAATAAATTAAATGAAACAAATCCCTTCCTGTTGTGTACGTCCGGCTTCAGCGAGACCCTTCAATTGCGGTCTTCGCCAGTCCCCAGTCTTAGGAATCTTTTATTTTGATTCGGAACAACAAAGTTCATGCAAATAACAGTCATGAAGTTCTAGTGTGCCATGCATATATCAATTTCGCCAATTTACTAATTTTTTGAACTGTGACGAGATCATCAAGAAGAATAATCATCAAACAAAGTCAATGCAATCGAAGCAGGACTGACTGACTCAAGACAAAGATAAGATAAATGATCATGTGAGAGAAGAGGAGAGTTCTTTATAGCATTAAGGCCACAAACGAAGAGATGAATCATAGAACCATTGTCACTATAGTCAACTCTTTTTTTTCTCTCTAAAGATCATATCCACTCAAAGATCAGACAATGGTTAGTATGTTGTTCAATGATCCTTGAGTGAGTCTGCCTAGTGGTGACCTGTAGTTGAGAGAAGGTCTATTGCGACTTGTATCTGATGACTGTACTTAATTCATAAGTCTGCTCTGCTCGAGATATCTGTCCTGCTGAAGAAGATCTTGTCTTGCATCCGTTGTCCTCAAAATACTTATTGATCTTGAGACTTTTTACTTATCACGTGATCGGTCGTACGGAATACTGATAACACCCACTGTGTTGTCCTTGCTTTCACCAGGAGAGCCCGCTATTACCAACACTATTGTTGTTATCACCGAGATTGGTTGTTGTGACCAGCATCGTTGCTGCTACCACCGGGACCTCCCGCTATGGCCAACATTACCGCTGTTGTCACCGGAACTGTCCGCTGTGACCAACGTCGTCCCTGTTACTATCGGGATCTCCCGCTATGGTTAGTATTGACGCTGCTGTCACCGAAACTGCGCGCTGTGATCAGCATTATGTCCCCTGATAATGAGATTTGCTGAGAGTCAACTGAAACCTTTGATTGAATCCATAAAATATGGGTTTACTGAAACTGAAGATTGAACTCACTGAAGTTGATCTGAGCTTACCAACACTCGGTTAAATTTACCAAAAACTGAACGGAATTCACAGAAACTGACTCGATCTTACTAAGATCGAACAGGATTTAATGAATCAGATATGAATTAAATGAGATTGCACTGTTTTCACAAAGTTTGAAATGAGTTCATCAAACCGAACTGAACTTTCTGAGATGAAACTGAAATTATTGCGTCCGCCGTCTAGTCAGAGTTTATTGAATACACTGAAAACTGATCTGAACTTGTGGAGATTAGGTACACGAAATTGAGCTTATTGAAACTGAAGTCGCTGATC